GAAGAAGAAGAAGAAGAAGAAGAAGAAGAAGAAGAAGAAGAAGAAGAAGAAGAAGAAGAAGAAGAAGAAGAAGAAGAGAAGAAGAAGAAGAAGAAGAAGAAGAAGAAGAAGAAGAAGAAGAAGACAGAAAAAGAAAAAGAAAAAGAAAAAGAAAAAGAAAATAACACACACTAGAGTAACACCAATTCTTTTTTAAAATTTTGTGTTTTTTGAAGAGAATAAAAAATAGTAAAAACCATTAGAAATGATACAGAGTTTTGCTAAACAAAATGATAGGAATTCAACAATGGCTGTTACATTGCATATTCTTGTTTTCAAATTATTTTTTTTTAATTTATAAGCATGCAAAATTTGTCAAAAAATTTTAAAACGTTAAAAAGGAGAGAGAAAAAAATGTTGAGCAGTAACTGCTTCTTTCCATAACAAACAGAAATCAGCAATACAGTTATTCAAGATATACTGTACACGTGTGTGTGTCTTTGTATTTTTTTCTGCCTTTCTTTTGTCCTTTTTTTATCCCAGTTGTTTTTTTCCCTTTGAATATATTCATTCCCTTTCACAGTATCTATTGTACCTCTCAGATTTTATTTACTCTTTCAGATTCTTATACTAGAAAGACAATATGATGTTTACACATGTGAGTCTTATTTATTTCACTTAGGAGTATGATTTCCTTAAAAACATCTAATCTTTGGCAATTATTAGTAGTAATTTTAACATTTCTTGATAATCTTATCATTATTAATAATTGTCTATAATTTATTGGCAAGAAGACTCCAACAAATCCAAACACAATACTCTTTGCAAATACACCTAAATTTCTCTACATTATCAATCCCATTTTAAAATCTTGTTCCTTTTAATTTCAGAAGAAAGATATTCTGCAATTCTCTCTTTTACATCTACATTTATCCATTACTATGTAATTACACATGCTGTTATCCCTGCTACTAACCATACATTCATTAGATTCATAGGACTGCAATGCTTTATTTTTATTTATTTTTTTAAATGTTTTTGGTACAGGGTCTCACTACACAGCTCATAGTAGTAGTGACCTTACTGTTTTCAGCCTCCCCAGTGCTGGGATTACAGGTGTGCACCATCATGCATGTCTTGGTGGCCAGCTAAGTGTACCCAGGGGTGGACTGCCAGGGTGATCAAATCTGGTCACTGTGCTTGCCTAATCAGACGCTTAGACCCACTGAGCTTTCTTGATGGGCCTGCAATGCTTTATTTATGCTTAAGTTTAATGTTTATTTATGATCAGTTCCAAGTTTTCCACTAGGAAATAAGAACTATGACTTTCAATTATAATCGACAGGACTACAGCATTTCATGATGTTCTCTGAACACATGAAAATTGCATAGTAAATTTTAGAGCAAGATAGACTCTAGAACAAATCTGTACACACTGCAGAAAATTACTCAGAAAGAGGTCATAGATCACAGATATGAGCATACAGAGTTAGGCTGAAAATTCTATCCATTAACTGCTATTTTCAAAAAAACTGATGAAAATTATTAGTATAATCACCTAAGCCATCCTGGATATATACTGGCATGCTTTTTCACCCTTCCTTTCTTATCTTTTTTCCAATCTAAGCAACTACATCAAGTACAGCAATGTGCAATCCAAAAACCAAGCTTGAATACCTCTTGTCTTGGTCTTCTAGATGTGTATCATTTCTAATGTCTTATCCATTATCATTATACTCTCCTTAAAATAAATTTTTTAAAGTAACAAAAAACAAGAAAAAGTTAAAGTTTCTTGAAAACAAGCAATAATATTCAATTATTTGTCCAATCTTGCCTAACTATATCTGTTAATCTGAGTAACAGATTTGATGATAAAAATAAACTATTATTAATTAGTTATTCTTGTGTTGAAAATCTGTAACATATGTATTGTATGTTACCCTGTTTCTGTGTTTGTTTCTGCTATTTGTTATTGCTTTTGTTTTTACTCTTCAGAATAAAATCAAATTAAACAAAAGAAAGGTCATAGACTAGTTCATGATTCAAACCCGAAACATGTGGGAATGGATCAAAACTATGTGAAACAAGCATTAATTTAGATCATGAATTTTGAGCCCCTTTTTCCTTCAAGGCTCATATAAAATTTCATAGACAAAATTAATACAGAGCTCACTGCTTGCATTATACTGTGAGCCTATGAGATTGAAAGTTGGGTTAGTTATTCAATCGTTGCATCTGTGTATCCTAAAATTCTATATTTCCAGAATTAAAACATAGACCCTAGAAAATTAAACATTGGATGGCATGATGCATGCCTGTAGGCACATCTTTCTGGAAGCCTTAAATGGGAGGAATTCAAGTTGGGTTCCTGAGTTAAGACATAGACCCTAGAAAATTAAATATTGGATGGAGTACCACATTGGTGACAATCCTCCTGCCTCTGTCTCCATTAGGCTGAGATGACAAGTGTACACTACCAAATTTGCCTTCTGGTCCACTCTCAATGCTCAAAAATCTTTTCTTCTGATTCAAATTTCAAAAATTCAGAAGTGATTTCTTCATTTAAATTCATGTAGCTGGGGAGACAACACAGCAGCTTAGAGTCCTGCCTGCAAGCACAAGGTCCTGAGTTTGATCCCCAGTACCAAACAACAAAACAAAACAAAAAACCAACCAACAAACAAAAAATCCCCAATCATATAGATTCAGAATATTTTGTAGCTCTAAGGTAATAAAGTGACTGATAACATTATGGACAGGGTCAGATCGCTAAGAAATGATGCTTGGGATGAATTTAAACAATTTATTAATCTTGAAAAGACATTAATTTGCATATTTAGAGAGAAAAAATGTAGAAAGTTTTTAATTGCATTTTTCTATGCAATTCATTTACGTTTCTCCTCAAACTTATAGATCCTCTTAGATTCTTCCAATCTTCACATAGCAACAAATTACATAGATATCACTCTCCTTTGAATCCCATTTCTCAGGCATCATTGTTCTGTTGACTGAAATTACATATTGTGTGTCATTCCACGTGAATATATTAGTGTTTAAAAATTCATAAAATTCCATAAAGTCATTTTTTATGGTTAAATGCTTATGGGTGTTTATAAATAAACAAAGAGTAAACAAAAAACAAATGAAAGAGCAGCTTGAATGTATTTATTGTATTTTAAAAAGTAGTAGCAGTATAATTTATGCTTTTACTATAACAAATCTCAGAACAAGTACATCTGTAAGACTGGTTCCAAGAAATATAATTCAGCCGCCAATAATATGGCACACGATACCTTAGCACTTCATCTTTTTAATTTTTTTATAGCTAGAGAGGGTCTTGCTAAGTCTCTCAGTTTCCCAAGCTGGATTCAAACTTGAAATCCTCCCATTTAAGGCTTCCGGAAAGATCTGACTACAGGCGTGCATCACCCCATCCAACATTTAATTTTCTAGGGTCTATGTTTTAACTCAGGAATCCAAGTCACTAGGATTATTGCCTGATAATCAACCCTTGCATATGAAACCATTTTGGTGTGATACTTTTCTGCCCAGCATAATGGAAGATTGATACATTGTGACTAACTAAAGGAAAGTTGAGTGCAACACAGTTTCTTGATGGCATTCCATGCTGCTAAGCATTCCAGCATTTAGTCAAGTGTCTATCTCTATGAATCAGCACAAATGGACTAAGCATTGCATAGCCAAGTACCAGAAATTCTTGAAGACTTGTTGTTATGGAGTCATTCTTGAAGGTGAAAATTAAATATAAAGATAATAAACAATCTGTCCAATAAAAGAAAAGAAATGAAAACATCAGAAGAAGAACACTTTGTGCAGCTTTGAGCTCAGGTGGCATTTGGTAGAGGAACTTGGAGAGCTGCAAGTGGAAAACACGCTGGTGGTACCTGTGGAGAAGACACATCATATAGACACTGGATCCACCCATGACACCCTGACATATGGCGTCTCTTAGGGTGAAAAGAGTCAGAAAAATCGAGTTAATTTTCTGGCTTCTTGGTAGAAAACGACAATAGTTGTCACTTTTACCTGCTTTTGATGAGTTCAGTTTGACATCTGTTATGATGTAGAACAAGTTCATACTTATCAAGGAATTCAGAATCCAAAATAGTAGAAGCAAGGAAAAGATGTGCCATACTGATTTGGGATTGAGCTTCCTCCACCCATAGTGTCTTGGACTAATGGTGATGGCCTGGACCACGGTGAGGAGACTGCTGGTGCAGATCGAGAGACCCCGGGCCACCCGCTCCAGGTACATAATGATCTTACAACCTGTGCTGTCCAGGAAATTTCTTAAGCCAAAAGTTGCTATTGTCCTCGGTATTCCCTTGGAAAGAAGCAGTATTGTATTTGTAAAAACCAAATGGGTGAGAATAAGGTGCATAGATTTCTTCTCACTGCCTCCAATAATGCATATATAATTCATAAAAACAGAGATGTTGACCATGGTATGAAGTCCAGTTGAAAAGAAGTAAATGATTCTTTTAAAAAGGTTCAAAGGCATTTTTAATGGCCACACATCCACTACTGCCTCTTCGGCCACCAAACCCATGACTGCCATCCAAGAGAAGGTACTCTCACCTGAGTTTTCTTAGTCTGAATGTGATCAGGATCAGTCCTGTTTAACTCCATTTTCAAGTCTAATATGCCCAGGTGTGTGGGAAGCAGCTGTGGGCACCCATGTAGGAGAAAACTCACAGATACTGATCCACTAGAATTACCTGAGCTACTTAGCAACCCTGGATTATTCTGCTTTTGAAATTGACATCATGAGAAATGAATTAGAAACACTAGCTGTTCCGCAACCAAGTGAACTGTTCAGTATGGAAGGAAAGGAGCTTCCAGCCCCTTCCTCAGGTCAGAAAAATGACACTACTGCATGGAAAGAATGTCTAAACAATTCTGTGCCCTGATTAGAGCATCAAGCAGTTCAAATTGAAGATCTGGAACTAATGTCATTTCATGGATGTAATGCCTGGAAAGTATATAACAAAAATATAGTTCATGTAATTCAATATGCATGGCCAGTGCTTCAGAAATTAAGGACACATATACAAAGTTTAAAGTGTCAGTGGAAGAACATGTCTCTCACAGCTGGATTTAAACTGAGAGAAAGGGAGTCAAATTGGGTATCCCTGGTCATGAAAAATTAGGAGACTGAATGGGCTATTGCACAATGAGAAAATGAAGTCTATCAAATGCAGCAACAATAGGGAGAGGCGAATAAAGTAAAACATCCGGCAAGAGTTTTGAAAGGACTAACTTGCTGGGTAGAGAAGAAGAAAAGTTGGGTTGTTACAAACATCAGCCCTCTAAACTTTCTCTGAACCTCTCACAAAAACCATATTGTATGAATTCCTCTATTGAATTTATCTGTGTATCTCTGTGAAATAAAGATGATCAAGTTTCAAAATAAGTATGACTTTGGAATAATACTGTGTTCCAGAATTAATACATACATTATACATGGCGTTGATTTTGGACTACTGACCATATTTTGTAGCTGAATGGATATGTTGTCTAAAGCCAGCAAGGCCATAGAGTTGGAGCTAGTCATGCCCTTTACAGCTCATATAATGTTCAGATGCTGGATGTGTGGCCATAGGATTTAATGGCTGTCCTGATGAATTTCAGTCTTACTTGTTCCAGTCCTTCCCTTGCATGTCTCAATTCTTCCCTTTTGACATAGAATTGTGTACCTTGTGCTGTTATCATTTTTGTTGGTGTTTATTTTAGTTTAGATATAGGCTCTTCCTCACTTAACAGGTAAGGCTTGCACTGACAATTGATCTGCTTTAGCCTCCCAAGTAGCTGGATTAAGCATAGATACTACCCAAAAAAAAAGCCATTTTTAATATTTTGCAATGAATTTTCACATTACATATGTAATTAGTTCAGTAGATACAAGATTTGAATTTTATAATTCCTCTTTTGTCTGTTTTATGAAATTATGTTTTTCAAGTAATGCATTGATTTAAATATTATAATTCATTGAATTGTTTGCATACTATTCTTTTTTTACATACTATTCTTTTTCAGTAATTTGAGTACATATTTCTCAAAGTATGGTATGATTTTCTAATTCAAAATTATTTACTTTTCCAATGCACAATTTATTTAAATATTTCCAAAGCATAAAATCTCCTTTCAAAGCTCTGTAATTTCTCTAGTCCCAATTTAGTTTGTGGACAATCGTGCATATTATTTCTCCTTAGAAAAATGTCAGTCATCAAATGTGCCAAACCTATTCACTGGAAGATAGTCTCTTTAATAAATGGTGCTGGAAAAATTGACTTTCCACATGCTGAAGGCTAAAAATAGACCCATGTCTGTCACCAAACAAAAAAACTATAGTCAAAATGGATCAAAGGGTTAGATATTAGAACTGAAACACTAAATCTTCTGGAGGAGAAAGTATAAATGCTAAGGACATAGTGGTAGGTAGAGAGTTTATGAAAAAAAATCAAACTGTACATGAAATACTTCAAAGAATCAACCCCTGGGATCCCATCTTTTTGAAAGGTTTGTACATGTCAAAAAAATCATCAACATAGTAAAAAGAAAACCCATAAATTGTGAAAAAAATGATAGTGGACTGTCCTTCAAACAAAGGGCTCCTGTCTAGACATTTAAATAATTTTTAAAAAATCAGACCTCCAAAATTCAAAGACCCAATCCAAAAATGGGCATCTGAGATGAACATACAATTCACAAATGAAGAAATACAAATGGCAAATAAATACATGAAAACATGTTCAACATCATTGGTCCTTCAAGAAATGCAAATTAAAACAACACCAAGATAACATCTTATGCCAGAAAGAATGGTTATTATCAAGAAGTGAACCGAAGGGCCCGCCCAATAGCTCAGCGGACTAAAGCGCCTGCTTAGGCAGAGCCTGTCATGCCTGCCCCACCACTGGGGCACACTAAAATGGTGATTGAGACTGGGCATGGTGGTGTGTGCCTGTAATCCCATTGCTTTAGAGGCTGAAAACAGGACTCTGCTTTCCCTGTAGACCCTATAGACCCTGTCCTAACTACATAAAAAAAGAAAAACAAGTGAATCAATAACAAATGCTGGAGAGGTGGGAGTGTAGGTTGGTGCAACCATTATGGAAATCAGTGTGGAGATTCCTCAGAAAACTAGGATTGGAGATCCCATTCAATCTATCTATTTCCCTCAGTATTTTTTCCAAAAGAACTGAAATCATGTTACCACAGTGATATGTGTAACATGCCACCTGTGTTTATAGAAGCACAATTTGTCATAGCTAAAGCTTGGAAACAACTCAAATGCCCATCAACTGAGGAATGGGTAAAAAAGATGTAATATTTTTACACAATGGAGTATTATTCATTTACAAAACATGATAAATTTGAGATTTTTGTGATGAACAGATCCAACCAGAGACTGTATTGGTGAGTGAAATAAATCAGACCCACATGTGCAAACAACATATTGGCTCCCTAGTTTGAGAAACTGAAAGAGTAAATAAAATCTGAAAGGTACAATAAATTTTGTGAAAGGAAAAGAATTTGTTTAATGGGAAGGAAAAACTGGGATGAGGAAAAGGACAAAAAAGAAGAGAAGAAGATATATTTAGGTATATATACAGGATAGTTTAGACAATTGTACCACTGATTTCTGCTGGTCTTTTGAAAGGACCAGTTAATGTTTAATTTTTTTCTTTTTCTTCCTTTTTTCCCTTTTAATTTCTTAACAACATTTTTGTTTTTGTTTTGTTTGTTTTTTGAAACCAATTTTGCACATTTATATCTGGTAACCTAAACATCTAAATTGAAGATAACATCATGCAATACATCAACCATTGTTAAATTCCTATTACTTTGTTTAGCGAAATTTTGTATCTTTTTTTTATTTTTTCAGTACTGGGGATTGAATTGAGGACCCAAGTGCTTATTCTACTGAGCTACCTCCCCAGGCCTCACATTTCTAATACTTTTTAATTACTATATTTGTATTCTTTAAAAAATAAATATAAAAAATAAAAATAAGAAAAATGTCAATCATATTTTCCTACTTTTTGTAAACAATAGAAGATATGAAAATGCCCATGAATCTTCCATGTCAAATTTTGTGACATCTTGTGGAGACCTGTATTTATTGGTCAGAACTTTACATTTTTCTTAACGGTACATGACATTTACCTGGTATGATGTACTATAGTTCCTTAGTTATCCTTTCTTGTTAATGCTTATTTTGTTATTCTGATTGGCAGGGTCTGGCTGAGAGGTTTGACCAGGTCCTAGAGACATTTTAACACTTAACATTGTGAAGTGGAGGTGAAGATAGTAACAGTGCAGAAGAGGAAAGTGAAATATGCCAAATAAAACAAAAGAATATAGGTCATGAGACTGAGAACATTCAGAGTAACTGTAATTTCTTGCCTAGAATTGTTTTCAATCCTGGATCTGTGCATACATGTGATGTTGATACAGATGGAAAGCCATCACCCACTACTCCAGCCCAAAACACTCTAGAAAATGACATTTTGAAGAACCACAAGAGAAGAGAGGCAGCATCTACTTACCTTCATGGACATCATATAACAGTACCTGGGATCCATTCTAACCCCAGGTCTTATATGGTGCTGACTACTGTGGTGTAGTGGAACAAAGTGGGGCTTATCATAAAATGATGATCCAAAATTAGAGAAAGGAAGAACTTCACATGTAGTCTATTGTTTGAGTTTTGTCAACAGTGTGGTTCTGGAGCTGATGGTAATACCCTGGACCATGCTAAGGAGACAGGTCATGCAGGTGGAAAGAACCCAAGCCAACTTTTTGAGATAAACAACAATGTTACAATCAACCAACACAACACAGAGAGTTTATGGAAGAGACATTTGCAAATATACCTCTGATGTTTGCATCTGAAAATCGCAGTGGATTATATGATATCTGTTTTTTTGTTTTTGCTCAGGAAGCATTGCAAATTATACATGTATGTCTTAACTATGGGGTTATTCCTCAACATTGGACAATACCTCCCAGGACAGCTACATAAGCCACAGGGAAGGCAGCTGTGCAAGGGCCACTTGTTATTGAAATCACAGATCTCACTTTGCCACATTATCCACACCATATAAATCACTTCATGTGAGCAGTTTTCTTTGTTTCTCATCCACATCCTCTTTCCCATTTCATGCACACTCATCCCTCATATGAAAAGTGATCTGATAAAAAATTATAGCTTCTTTAAAGACTGGTACTTGGCAAAAGGGAGGAGCTGCCTGAGGGTGTTAGATAGGTGACTCTTCTTTTCTGACCTGAGTAAAGAGGAGAAAAGACTTCCATTGAAAGCTGACAAAACTGCTTGAATGAAACTGAAGATAAACTTTCAGACCTCAAAGGCAGTGTTGCACCTAACAAATGTGAAATAAAAGATCTCTTAAAACTAACAAGGAACAAGGAAATAATTCAGCAGCTACAAGACAATGCAAAGAAAAATAGGGCGGGCCAAATAGCTCAGAGGATTAAAGTGCCTGCAAGCAGGTGCAGGGCCAGGGGGTTCTATATCCAGGCTTG